GAAAAATATTGAAGAAGAAATAAGCTAAAATTAAATTACAATGCTGTGCCTTCTGAATTAGAAACGTCTGGGCCCAAAAGGGCTCAAATTTTTTTTGACTTACTTGTTTATAAATTATTTGCAGATTACCCTGTATGCAAGTCGTGCTTATAACTAGTAAGTAAAGACATCAGCTCAATTGACATTTAATTAGGCGTGCTTGGGAGCGAATCATATTTCATAAAGCCACGCTTCACATGCCTAAATGTGTGAATGTCATTTAATTTAGGATACCCAAATGAGCAGTGGTTGTTGTGTTCTTCAACTGGGCTGACGGACTTGTAAGTACATCAGCTAATTGTTTTTTGTATGCAAAACATATCATTTTGATTGCTGCGCCAATTTTAGACAAACTCCCCGTTGTCGGAATTTGCATGTGTGCAATGAGAGTGCCTCTGAGCTGCATTGGCTTGGTGCGAGCGCCGCTCATTATTTTTGCACTTAATGCTCCAGGTGAGCGTAAAAAACAGGAGTCGCTGTAGGGGAACGTTGAAGTACAAATAAATAAAAGGAAAATACAATGAAATACTACCGATTTAATGGTTATAACTTTCCACGTCATTTCTATATATCTATTGCAAAAAAGGTCTTTCGGTCACATCCCATGTGTGGCATGAAAGTATACCGCTGGCTTAATATTGATCTGCCTGTCACCTATGAAAACCTATTTTAACACATTTGAGAAATTAGCTACGTTAGCAGCTAGAACAAAGAGGATTAAATTAGAATAAGAATAACGCAATTTTAGTTTAAATTAACTTAGTTACTCTCGCCTAATTCCATACTCAGGAACTCACTCATCCAGAATATTAATACGAAAACATAATTGAAATGGGGAAACAATTTGTGTTTTAATTTACCTTTCCAGTTGATGAATTCTGTTTTAAGGTAAAAATAGTTTCAGAACAGCTAACAAGGGAAACTTCGCGTTTTAATATCACTGGCAAGGCAAACGAGAAAAAACAGGTTAGAGCTCATACGCATAATCAATGTTATTTTATGGTAGGCATTGAACTATTTTACCGATAATTTGAGAAAACTTTCCTATACATTTTAAAATCCTTTCTGAGCATCATACATACTCGAACTGTTCACCGTATTAAGCTTAATCGGGAGCTTGAGAACTGCAATCCCGGAAGAACAGAATGCGAACAAGATACGGCAGTTGCTGAGAGCTTCGACTGTGATTCTTGTTTGCATGCCTGATCTGGAACGTGCCTTCTCACCATCGATGAAAATTACGGCATAGCAGCCATAATTCCCTGAGCAAACGTCAGTTACTCCTAGGAATCAAAGGCCCGGCAGCTTAATATTGAGTGAATAGACCAGGAATCCCCCAGGCCAGCCGTCATGACAGGCCCTGAAAGAGGAGGCTGCCACTCACGATACCACAACCTCCTTATCATCTGTTGCGTCAAGGCACTTGGATATCTCTTTGTCTACACGTCCAAAATAATATGTACGGGCAAGCGAACATGTCTGACATCGACATGACAGAAAATATTCTTGGCTAGATGCGAGATGCTTACAGACAATGCCTGGCACCATGAGCAACAGTCAGCTAGTTATGGTACCGTGCTTTTTCTTTCATGTGATATAGAAAAAACATCATGAGTGTTTTATTTTAGTGAATTGTGGCGGAGCCCGTCAGATTTTTTGTTGAACAATTCTAACATTTCTAAGTTTGTGGCTGCGGCTTGCAAGTCGTTTCACTGTGTCGCCCAATCACACCATGGCAGAAAATGCATGCAACTCCTTTCAAAAAGGTTTTAAACGAAGATGAATGTGGTTAGATCAAAAGTACAATAGTATTTAATGCATCCTTTACCTCTGAAAAATATTAAATTACTCCGAATGGTTAATTTACCAAAGTTTGGAAGCACAATCTTGGGACAGTAGAAGCTCGCCGACGGTCGTGCAACGACCAGCAACGCAGAGCAAGACTTCGCAAGGCCTAAAGGCTAGGGGCTTGAGGGCGCTAGGCACCGCCCACGCCTGGGCTGCCCGCTCGTGTAGGGCAGTTTATCAGCGGCAGTTCACGGTGCCCGGTACAGGAAGTCAAGGCAGGGAAATGTTGCCCTCCAACACGACAGGTCTACGCAACACGACAGGTTGCCCTCCAACACGACATTGAACTTCGTTTATCTAACTTTTAATTACTCTTCCCATTTGACTAGAACTTTATTTAAAATTCAACTAATAACGTTAGTCAGAACAAGCGGGTAGTTACTATTAGGCATCACTAAGTTTATGTTTGATTAAAAATAGAGGATTGAATATAGAAATAAAGTTAAGGCAGTTTTTTAACGAAATCGTACCAATAACTATATATTTTAATAAGTATAGTATCACTCTGTTCCGTTAGCAAAATAATAATCATCGACGAAGCGCCTAAGGAGGAGGGGGGAGTCCATGGGATACTTTCCACCAAATTGATCAATACCAGATTGGCCGCCAATACCAAATTGCTAAGCCAATACCAGTTATTGGCTCAGCAATTACATGTATCATCTGTCAGTCGCGTCATAAATGTCTGTGGAATTCCCACAGACCCATAAGCTAACTACCCAGCCTGTTATCATAGGTTCCTCTCACTCATCACTACTGCCTGGCCCCGACTCTAGGCTACATAATATAGGCTGCGCTGATAACGCTGGTCGGTCTTCTCATGCCTCAGTGAACCTCAGTACACTTTGCTCCACGGATCTATGGATGCGCAAGTCGCTTCCATTGCCCAAATCTCGCCGCAGACGCAGCCATACTCACCGTTATACAATTTTAGCTGCGTCAGATACGGCCGTTTTATCAGGACGGTTATGGCGAGGTCAAGGAAAACATCACGTTATCCAAAGAATTCACTTTCTCATCACTGGATTGAAGTTCGCGAGTTCACATTTTAATTTTATAGCAAAATTTTTATTTATTTTCTTTAAAAGACAATTACAGAGCGCAAAACTGCTACATTAAACGCCCTTGAAGAGCAGGACTCGATTTCATAATTTAACCAAATTATCTTTAGTGAAAACGAGTAAGTTATCCTAGCAAATGGAAAGAATTATTGTCTGTTTTATAAAACGAATTTGAATGTTCAAAAACGTCAAAATTAATTACGTATTTGCAATACAGGGAAATTTAAATTCTAGGACATTTTTAGTTATTGATATCAAATGAAATAATCAGACAGCGGTGTTCTTTGGATTGCATGTGCGAGTGCACAGAACGCCATGATCCGGCGGAATATAAGACGTGAATTATTTTTATTTCAAGTAATGTCTAAGCCACTATTAGTATTTGCAATATTTACTGTAAGATGCGCGCAGGATGAAAGCCAAGACAACCGCTCAATAATATCTTAATGGGTAACGTTAAAGCGAACGTGTTGACGGAGAAGGTGCTTATATCGCCCCGTCGGTACCGCATGTTTCCTCCTCTGCTCTTTAAGAAAAGATATCAGAAGCCTGACTTCTATAACGGACGCCGGTAATGGTGAGTAGCTGAATCGGAGAAGTTCCATACCTTCCGAGAAGCGCGTTCTGCTCAGACCGGTCAGAAGGGCTGAACTGGTGAGCCAATATTTCGCTGCGACTGACGACTGCCGATGGCGTTGAGCTCGCTCATGACGAAGTGAAGATAAGGTAGAAAGTCTATTCATTGTGTGTCATTGAAAAAAATGTGTCTTATTCTACGTGTTTATCCTTGTTGTTGGTAGTAGAGTACATAAGCTACAAAGGCGGCTAATTATATCACAATGCTTGAGTCTTCCGCTAGCTGTTTCTATCTCATCAATATATTTTAAAGCATTACAATAATTTGGAGGCCAAAGTTCAGATGAAATTCCCTACGTGAACGGCCGCGGGCGTCGTGTTCTGTCCATGGCATAATATCTCTACTGCCATCACTGATGCCCAATGGCGGAACTTTTACAAAGCTCCTCAAGCTTCGCATGATTTAAAAAAAGAACCTGTCACACCGCCGCCAGTTCCCTTACATCCAACCCTGCATGAAGTCATCTCTGGAGGGTGCTGGCTGCTGTTGTTTACAAGTCAGAACTCTTGCGACAGAAGTCTTAACTAATGAAGCCAATGACAATGCAGCATTAATATTTTGAGTGATAGTTAAAGGTGATCATTTTAATGAGGTTTTAACACTAACGCGCAACTTGTTTCCCTCGTAGCAATTAAGAGTAGTTACTCTCAATATGATGGAACTTAACAACAATTCTTTTTACATTTTCAAGTCTAAAATAACTAGAACTTGCTTATCTTGCCGGAAACTTGTCCGCTTTTGTCCAAAGGTTTGCAAACTTTCTGAGTTGCAAGCGATTTATTTCGACAATTTTGTGGGGTTGACATTCGAAGAAGTTGGGACAAACTGCCCGGGAGAAGAAATATCGTCTGGAGACGTAGCTCGAGAGACCCTCGCAGCTGTGGTAAACAACTCGATATTATTTGTAAGGGCCTCGCGTATTTGCATTTGATGGCTGTGCTGCGAAGAGCGCGTGTTACTCCACGTGTAAAGGCCACGTCCTGAATGGCTTTCTTACAGCCTTAGGCGTTCAAAATTGAGCCGATTGCCTGCCGAATCAAGGCTCATTTTCAATCAAGATATAATCAGAGCCTTCAAGGCCAAATCAAGAAATAATCGTACGCGTACCATTTGTTTGCTGCAAGCAAAATTATATTCATCATAATTATGACTCATATTCACAGAAAAAATCGTCGCAATTATCACAAAAAATCTATTGCAATTAGGTACATTGAGCAGCAATAAAATGACTTTCTTTCGTAAAATATCAAGAACGGTAGAAATTGTAGTGGGATAATTCACAAAGTCAGTGAAAATTAATAAATAGAGTTAATTTTCTGCATCAAAAACTCTGAAAGTGGGTAATATTCAGTAATATTCACAAACCAAATATGTCTTAAATATATTTGTTCTAACGATGAGTATGTTGCTCGCAGGCTTCAACATCAGTCGGGATGGCGTGGAGTGGCAGACGCGCGATGCTGCTCACCACCACGCTGCTGCTGGCTGCTGGTCAGTGACCATTATAGTTCTAATTTATGACTGATGCTATACGAATATTCCTGTTGTAATAAATATTAGTAGTTATCATAGATAGAGGTATAAATTTATTGTATACCAGAACATAAATTTATTGCAAACCAGCTCTGTTTGATGGATACTGTAAAAACGCAAATAATTTAAAATATTATACTTATTATAATATATCACATTGAATAAGGTTCTGACTACGAGTAGTTATTGTGCGCGTCGCATATATTGCTCTGTATTCAGTATAAATTCTAGATCTTTCATACATATATATTTATTTAACTATATTTCTAAACTGGGGATGATTGCATATGAACAATTCTTTATTCTGTACATATGGGTTCTTTCTTTTGGTACAAAGATATCCTCCCTCTTCATATGCGATCGTCCCTAATTTATAAATATAGTTGTGGACGATGTGCATCTGGGTACATTGGGATGACGTATCACAGTCCGTATTCTAGGGTCGTAGAGCATAAAGGGAGGAGTTATAGTACTGGGTAGTTACTATTGCACCCTCCTCATTCGGCTGTGCGCTCTCACACTGAACAGTGCGACGTTCCAGTGTCCGACAGTGGACTTAAGGTTTTAGCTTCTAGTGCTAGTGCTTCCGATCAGCGTATTTTGGAATCATTGTATATTTTCAAAGACAGGCCTAGTTTAAATGCAGCTCTTATCCAGTAAAAAATGTAAATAGATAGGTTTTTACTTTATTACTCTGTCTTTTGTAAGTAAATTTTGGTTTTAGCTTCTGTATTTTTTCTTTTGAATTTGACTTTATTAACTTCTGATTGAATTTGTGCTCTAGATTTTTTGAACCAACAATGGGGCTGCACTACGAAACGTTTTCAAAAGAGATTTTGTGAATTTTTGTGGAGTATTCTTCGCTTCCAAATTTTTAGTGAATTTTTGATTTTAGCAATCTAGTGAAATTACTAATCAGTTAAATGTCAGGAAAAATAAAAAGCTCTTCAATTCTTTCTGTTCCCCAGCTGCTGCTAATTTTGGCGTAATGGATCAGTTTTCAGAGAGTAAAAAAATAGTTGAGCTCAGCTGGGATTTCAAAGACTTAATCGCGAGGTTGAGTAGCGCTGACGTGGCGCTGCTTTTTTTTTCTTTCAAAGATCCTTGCAGTAGCCTTTAACAGGTGCGAAGTGAGTTTTTTATTGCGAGGGCACATTAAACGGAACCGCCGGCGGCGTCGTTCTCTCTTTTTACTGGTGATTTAGAAGATGCTTCAAGTGCTTGGCAAGAATGGGAGAAAGCATAATCGCGTCTACTGAGAACTTGGGACGAAACAGACATGAGCTTAGCAAATGCACTTTATAGGCAGAACTGGCAGGAGAAAAGTGCATGGAGACTATGTTTTGGGATCAGTTCCTCATACACTTTTAGATGTTCATGAGTGAGCAGAGACATGAGAGATGAGTAGGGCGAATTGCGGTCGAAGAGGTTTGAAGACATTCACGGGTACAAGAATTAGTTAATTGGTATTTTAAATAAACTCACAATTTACTTTTCCAGTAAACGTAATTAGAAAGTAACGGAAAACGCTTATTCATGAAATCAGATGAACACATTAGATGCGTTAGAACGTTTGGATCAATTGCAGTTTGTATCAAATTAGCGTTGGAACCCGAAATAATTTTGAATTTAGGCAATGCAATCAGACTAACGTCAAGCGACGTTGGGCAAACATTGTTTGTTGTCCAGACAAGCGTCTACGGACCATTCATTGTCGATGATATTTTTAGCGTAAATTTTTTAACGCTTGATCTAAGATCAAGCGTTAACTCTTTATTATAGGTAAAATGGCGGCAAATTCAAACTTTGAGTAATGTGTTTCAAGTTGGTGCTAATATGATTTTTTTGATTAATCGATCAAACAATTTGTTGCCAGTAGAAAACTGAATAATCTTATACGCATGAATTCAAGATAATTTATACCTCGAGAAAGGAAGCTATAAAATTAAATTTTCAGTTTCGCAAAAAAAGTTGGCTGTGAATTATTACAAAACATTTGATATTAACTACCCAGGGGACGTGAGGATAGTTGAAAGCAGATCTTTTGTCTACCAATTAATGTCTCTCTCGTGGCCGTCGGCGATGCAGAGCCCCCAGTTTACATGCGGGCCTCATTTATAGAATACAAATGAAAATGATCGCCTCTTAATTGCATTTGCTTTTCCTCAGAGTTAACGCGTCAAATCAAATTAGTAATGATGCAAGCTGCTCTCCTGAATTGAATGATGTTAATCTTAAGCAGATATGTAAGAAATTTTTCATTAAATAAAAAAGTTTGTGTTTATGTGGCCTCATCAATTGGTTTAGTTAAGCTTGAATCTCTGGGTACAAATTTATCTTTAACTGCCATTTATGTTGCCTGTCTGACAGCCCTGAGTGAGTCATGCGACCCCGGTGACCTGGTGCAGGGATGTCGCGTGGAGGGCCCCAACTACTGCGTCTGTGGCCTCGGCTGCCGCACCTCCTTCAGCTACGCTACCAGAGAACAGTGCCTCACTGCCAGCAGGGTAGTGCAGTGTTGCAGTGTTGCGTAGACTGCAGTGCCTCACTGCCAGCAGGGTAGTGCAGTGTTGCAGTGTTGACTCACTGCCAGCAGGGTAATGCAGTGTTGCAGTGTTGCGTAGACTGCAGTGCCTCACTGCCAGCAGGATAATGCAGTGTTGCAGTGTTGCATAGATTGCAGTGTCTCACTGCCAGCAAAGCAGTCCTGCGTATTGTTCTCAGCTGGAATGTCAAGTTATTGCATTCTCACCAAACGAGAGGAATGCGTTGTAACAAATAAGTGGAAGCATGAGGAAAGTGGTGCCGCATTCGATATTCATGACTAATAACATAAGTTTTTTGATAATAACATATTAATAACAATTGATAATAATAACAATTGATAATAACAAAAGTTTGATAATAACAAATCCTGTAAACTTGCACCAAATCATGACAACTTCGTGCATAATACGAGTATGTTCTGGTGTATCCGAATTGCATTAATTTATCTACGCGCATTATAATTAGACAGAGTAAAAACAATGCGTTGGGCAGGCTTCAATTTATCAATGCATCATCATCAGTATCGAGAATATTGGTGCGCAGAAGGAGAAGCTTCCATCAGAATTCACTGGTCCGTTTAATTGATTAATCCATAAATTTCAATTACTTCCCTCAATTGCGCCATGGGTTTTACTCTCCCAAATGATGCTCTGGATGACATTGATTGATTGGGTCGTCAAATGACGACGCGTTTCAAACCAATGCCTAAAAGAATGAAGTTCTTTTCCGCGAAATCTTCATTCCTTCAAATTCCGTTGGGAAAATGGCATCGACGAAATGAACCTTAATATGACGGGTAATTTGTCGCAGAATTGAATGCTATCGAACGGGGACGGACGCAATGGGCAGTTCGAGTGAATATGCGAAGTCGGTTTCTCCTGAAAATCCGTGACCATCGAACCATCTCAGTTCGCTGCCATCGAACGGCGAACTGAGACTTACATAAGTGCGCTTGTGTCTCGCAAGCGACTCAAACTGCGCGTGTGTCTCGTGAGCAGCACAAAATGCGCTTGTGTCTGGCTAGCAACACATTCTGCGCTTGTGTCTCGCTGGCAACACAAACTGCGCTTGTGTCTTGCCAGTGACACAAACTGCGCGTGTGTCTCGTGAGCAACACAAAATGCGCTTGTGTCTGGCTAGCAACACAAACTGCGCTTGTGTCTCGCCAGTGACACAAACTGCGACTTGGCCTTACGCTCGGTTGATCCTCAGCATGTATCGCAAACCACAACAATTAATGCAAGAGCAGCAGAAGTTATCCTGACAGAATATTCGAGCAGCGGCAAGGAGCTCGGGGAAAACCTGACGCTGTTTACAATAGATGGAGTTTCGTCGCCTGAAGCACAGATGACGGAAATTCTTCCTACGAATGCACATTAGTCTATGTGTGAAGAAGTTCATGCACTGATTTTGAGTAATCGTCAAAATAATAAAGTAATTCGCCTTCAGTGTAATATAATAGTTACGGCTCATTTTTTTAGCGGTGCTACAGAAATGAAGAGGAACTTACAGAAATGTTTCACTTAGCCGCGTCGTGATTGTGGTCGCTGTAGAATTAACAAATTTTTCATCTGCTGGCCATCTAGGAGTGAGGACAAATTTCGATTGGCAAAATTAAATATACGAATTTAAACTAAACACGTAAACAATATTTGGGATGCGTATTCCGTAGAAGCAAAAAACTGAAATGATCATTATAACTCCTGTGTTTCGATTTAAATTATTGTACTGTATGCACGCATGAATCATGTTCTATAAGTATTCAGTGTACTATAGTATATTATACTAAATACTGTAGTTAGTATATCTTCTCATCAATATTGTCATGAAGATGATGGCATTATACGGTCAGGGGGAGCGAGGAGACCCTTGCTCCAGTCAGCCGTGCAGACATCACTCCTACTGCACGCAGATCATAGCAGACCCAGGCTACCAGTGCTTCTGTGACGGCACAGGCTATTATGGCCGCCACTGTGAACTTAGTGAGTAAATCATTACTAGTTCATTTCATTATTACAAGTTCATTTTATTATTACAAGTTCATTAAAAGTTCATTTCATTATAAAATTTAATTTCATTATTAAAAGTTCATTTCATTATAAAATTTAATTTCATTATTAAAAGTTCATTTCATTATAACAAGTTCATTTCATCATTAAAAGTTCAATTTATTGTTACAAGTTCATTTTATTATAACAAGTTCATTTCATTATGTCAAGTTCATTTCATTATAAAAGTTCATTTCGTTATTATAAGTTTATTTTATTATTATAAGTTCATTTCATTATAAAAGTTCATTTCATTATTACAATTTCATTTCATTATAATCGTGCAGCTTAACATCCACCAACGCCTCCATCGTGCAGCTTAACATCCACCAACGCCTCGATCTTGCAGCTTAACAAAACACAAGTAGCGCTCAGAGTCAGAATGCGGCAGGCACGGAAAGCCCTCGCTTTTTGCCAACAAGTTGTGAATTGTTTGCTTGGTTCATCAAACTTAACACAATAACTAAATTATCTTAAATATACTTATAAGTTAACTCAGCGCCGCTTGCAAACTTGCCAAATGTGGAACTCTCATAAACAATCAACAAAAATGCATGGAGCTCACACGAGGAAATGAAATTCTTTTATTTGCGGGAATTTCATCAAGTTTCGTTAAGCAATAACTTGAAACTCGCAGTGAAGTTAACTGCCGTATCTCCAGTTAGTGGTCAGTTCCAGAAAAAACTTTCAATAGCAGGCATGATTATGTGGCAAAACTGTCCTTTTATGTGGCAAACTTTTATGTGGCAAAACTGTCCGAAAAAATTTCACGTCACCAACATCAGCAAAAAGTTGAGGTTTAGGCTTTCTCTAGCTTTATCTGCTGTCAAAAAATCCTTGACAAATAATGCAAAATATGTTTTGTGTAAGTGCGGCTAAGATACATGCATGAATGCGACTATATTTGTGAAGTTTATATACAGCTTTAAAATATAAAATGAAATCGTTTAAAAAAAGAATTGCTGTAATTTGCTGGAAATGACATCATCGCCAATGACATCGATCAAACTTGGTAGGAGGTGCTAATTGGAGTTGCGAGTGCATTGTACAATAGTTAAAATATGGTACAAACACCTAATAACATGGTTCGTAGATGTTTATATAATTACATTGTTCTTAGATTCGCACGTGTCAACTAAATTTCATAGTCGGAAGTTTAATCGCGGGGATAGTGTTTTCTCCCGAAATTTCATTACGTGCTCTGAAAATGGTCTGAGTCGAGCGAGTTCTAATTAGGTAATAATGTTGTTGATATCTTTTTTTCTTGAATACAAGAGCATCTCGAGAGACGCTCTGAAATTTGGTAAAATTCAGTAAATACGAAAATTGTAACTGGAAATTGAAGAATATCAAACACAAGTAATGAAAATTTTTGAGGCTTTCCGCAATCTTTCTTACCGCTACATTCACATATCGGAACTAGAACACATTCTTCAGACTTGATGATATTCGTCACGTGAAGTAAGGCCGTTCATTTTGTTAGGAAATAATTTTGCATAAATTATCGTGATCAGCATTTGCCGGATGAGTTTACCAAGAGCGTATATCGCCTTGAAGGCGGCTATAGTCTGAACACTGAATCGCACCACATGTAAATATGCTCGAGATGAACGCGAGAGCTAAGTTCCGATGCAAGCAATGGGTGAAGGCCAATTTGCAAATATGAGTTCATAATGGAAAACTTTATTCATATTGGCGTTCCTCATCTAAGCTTTATGTTTAAGTCATGAAACCCTATCATGCCATAATATAAATAGGAAATTACATGTTTTTAGCCAGCCGATGGTTTTAGACCCAACTTATTTCATAATTTGATAATCTCTCAATGGGATGCGGAAATTTTTATTTTGTTTCTAAGAAAATGTTTCTAAAAAACAGAAAATGTATTATTTTTTAGAAAATGTATTATGCTTCTAAGAAAATGTTTCTTTATCCGTACAATTTGAATAATGTTTTCGTCAAACTCAACCCCGCGGTAATTACATAATTTTGGCTTGTCTTCTAAAATGCGAACTTATTTATTTATATGACTAGTTTTCATGCAGAATTTTGTGTTTTAATTGTTCCATGTATAGAAAATTTCTTAACCGCTTACCGATATTCAGGGCTAATGCTGACTGTACTGAAATAAGTGTTATTTGTAAAATGTACGTGTGAAATTTGTAATCTGAAAAATTTATCAATTATCATAAGTTGATTGATTTATATTGCAATTTAAATAAAAATAATAATAAATGATAACTGGAAGTAATTTTTTAGCTGAAATTAGTACCTATGATAGTTTAGAAAGGATTTCGTTATGTGTAAATTTAACTTTGAATCTAATGATTGAAACTGACAACACCGTATGTAACTTTCACAAATAGAAATTAAACGAACATGCAGATGATTTACCCTCGTGGTTAACTATACAAAAATTTCCTTAGGTCATACCTGAATCTCTTGTTTCATATAATTATCAAACAATCGAAATATACTTAAGAGAAGTAGTGTGATAATGAAAAATATAATAGTGTAAGTTCAGCAAACTTTCATTTCAATTAGGAACGATGCGATCCTTCATTAACTCTTCAATTGCTTTACAATATCTTGAGTTACCTATCCTAATATTCCCTCACTGATTAAATAATGAACTAGTAGATTATAATAAGTGAAGTGTGGTAGACATAAATAAAGTTCCCGTAGAATCCATCATAATATTGTGTGTAGAACAGAACTCGACGTCCTAGTTTATTGTCAGTGTCTGTAGGTGCGAGGTTTGTCTCGAGCCATAAAATTAATTTCATTTTTATTTTTCATTGAGAAATATCTTAGATAAACGATGGTGTTACACAGCATAGAGTTTTGTACGTGTGTATGTACACCAGTTAAACTTAAAATTTGCACGTGTGTTTCTTTCGAAGGAAAATATACTCGATGAAATTGTGATTATAGCATTCCATACGATAACAGCTAAGTTATTTACGAATAAAAGAGAAACATTAATATTATAGGAACAATTTAAAATATTTAAAAACATACTTTTAAAACTCAAATCGTGCTTCCGTCAATTTTCTGACGTTTGCAGTAGCAAATAATTTTGAACTTCTAATTGAAAATGTTTTGATATTATTTAAAGTTTTCGGCATTTTTATTTATTGTAAAATGCATTCGACTGCAATTTGTTGGAGTGGAATGAATTTTGTTTCCTGGCCGAGTTATTTTATTAGTTCAGGTGTAATTTCGACTTGATAAGGCCAATTCTCATCAAGGCTGCACCCCAGTAAATGTTGGATAGTGCAGTTCGATGCTGTGCCTTGAATATCATCAATAAAATATTTTTAACTATATATTGTTTCTATCTCATGTGTTTCTACCCACAACTATCTCATACTTAAAAAACATAATGATTAATTCTATATAAATGGAGGAAGCATTTTACGGCCAACAGAAAATAATATCTCAATCACCATCGGATGATTCCCTTGATTGCAGACGAGCGTTGGAGATACGGCACAAGATGGAAGGCTGACCGTCGCTTATGTAAGATTTGGGCGGCAGCGTCTCACTAATTACGAATTCAACGAAGTTAATCATGCCAGAAGTTGTAACCACGCTGCTACTTCCTGCTAAGTTACGAGGTAGCAAGCGGTGACTCGATGTAGCAAGCGGTGACTCGATGTAGCAAGTGGTGACTCGATATAGCAAGAAGTGACTCGATGTAGCAAGTAGTGACTCGATGTAGCAAGCGGTGACTCGATGTAGCAAGCGGTGACTCGATGTAGCAAGTGGCGACTCCATGTTGCAAGCGGTGACTCGATGTAGCAAGTAGTGACTCGATGTAGCAAGTAGTGACTCGATGTAGCAAGCGGTGACTCGATGTAGCAAGTAGTGACTCGATGTAGCAAGTAGTGACTCGATGTAGCAAGCCGCGACTCGATGTAGCAAGTAGTGACTCGATGTAGCAAGTAGTGACTCGATGTAGCAAGTGGCGACTCGATGAAGCAAGCGGTGACTCGATGAAGCAAGCGGTAACTCGATGTAGCAAGCAGGGATTCGGTGACTCGATGTAGCAAACAGTGACTCGATGTTGCAAGCGGTGTCTCGATGTAGCAAGTGGCGACTCGATGTAGCAAGCGGCAACTCGATATTGTAGCGACCATCGAGGTTCTCGTAAAATTGGAGATTTGTCTTTTTCCAGTCAAAAGCTCTAAGCCTTTCGGAAAATGGATTTCAATTTAACATTCGACGATATTTTCACACTGTTCCGATATTGTTTGCTATTTTTCAGTGCCCGATATAACTATTTTTTAATCGTTGCCAGCACTTCAGCCAGAAAAAAAGCCACCCTATCAAATTCAGAACTTTGTACGACGAGTCAATTTTTGAAGGACCGTTGACAATGAACTATAGTCAGGAGCTTGCAAATAAATTGCATTTGTTTTCAATGATCATTTTCATAACCAAAATTTTTTGCATGTGAGAAGATCGTATTTGAATAGCAATATAGTTACTACTTGTACATCATTAACTCACTCCGAGCGCATGCAAAGAATTCCCTTACGCTACGAATATACAATGAAGAAAAATACAGAAAATAACATGGTGACTCCATAATGAAAAATAATACTAGTAAATAAAACTTTCCAAGTAAGATTTTCCAAATGTTTTGACGGTTGAGATAACTTTAATTTGCTTATTCTTAGAAGTAATAACTGTCACTTTTCCTTCGATGTTAACAGTCACAGGGCTTTAACATATTCGTTAAAACAATGCAATTAAATATCGGAAACGCTGCCAACAAGTGATGTAAGACACTTACCGTTCTGCAACTTTTGAACGTTCCCTGCATTGAGGCAAGACACTTACCGTAATAAAACTTTTGAAACGTTTCCTGCATTGAGATAAGACGCTTACCGTAATGCAACATTTGAAACGTTTCCAGCTGGTGAGGCAAGACACT